CTTTCCTAAGTTCCTGAGCCAGATCAGCCCTCCTAGATCCCTGGTTTTCAGAAAATATGAGAAAACAAATGTTTCCTGTTTTAAAGCTTCTACATTTGCGCAAATTTTTTGTGCAGTGGTAGATAACAAGTACAACCCTTTAAAGCCATGTATGTATACAAGCTAGGAATTATTGAGCATTTATTTTATTCCACATACTGTTCTAAGTACTTCACATGAATTAAGTTCACAAGGACTCTGTGACATTTGTATTGTTCTTACTATTTTAATTTCAGAGATAATAAAACAGGTGGTAGGGGAACAGAGAGGGCAAAGTACCTTCTCTGAGGTTAGAGAGCTGGCCAGTGCTCCCATCGGTACTAGAACCCAGGAAGTCTATTTTCAGAGCCTCGTCCTACGAGGTTGCTGTTGGACTATGGGTCAGCGCCAGTGTCGTCTCAAAGCTTACCTAGGGCTGAGAATCTGTCCCCAAGTTCAGCGGCTCGGGTGTGAGCAAGCCTCAGGTCCTTGCATATTGTGAGCTGAAACTCTTCATCCTCACCACTGGATGTTACTTCATTAGTGACTTTAAACATGAGACCACCCTGCATGAATTTCTCTTTTTTCTCCCAGCAACATATTCTGAATATTTTCCTATGAAACTAAACATATTTCTAACCATCATTTTAAAAATGTTTTTGGATGCAAACTTGAAAAGGCAGAAACCCTTCAGGCAGATCAGGTAAAACATATTGAAATAGTCTCATTTTATCTTTTTAATTTATGCACTAAAAGTGAGAAATTTCATTCATCACCATAGCTGGTAGCCTCAGTCAGTACTGTTAAAAAATGAAATTTGAGATTTTACTACACGGCATTGATTTTTATTTACATTTTATTACTATACTAACATCTGACTCATAGTTATAGGAACAAATAATTATAAAACTTGAAACTTTACAAATGCTTTTTTTTATTAATAATACTGAGAATTGATTGAACCTACGGCCTTATGTATGCTAGGCAAGAGCTGTATCCCTGAGCTATACTCTCTCCCCAAATTCTTTCTTCAGTGCTACATGTAAAAATATGCAATTTAACATGAGTTATTTACTAGTATTCAAAGGAAAATGTTTTCAGTAATTGAAAAAACATTACCTACCTGTCTGAGTTATTGTGATCTTATTCTTGTAATGTGTTAGGGTAGCAGGAAAATTCCTTCCATCTCTGAATTTCACACAAAGATGTCCCACTTAGAGGCTCATTATTATTTGTTTATGGAAAGAACATGTTGGCGCTGTTGGTTGTACACATCATGGTGCATGTGAAATTGGCTTAAAAGAACCCCATGCTAGTTGTCATTACAAACACAAATCCTACACCTTGGGGAAAAGAAAGTTTATAAGATGTGCACCTTCAAAGGCAGGAGACCACTTTAGTGAAAATTAAACCCAGCAGGGAGGGCTTTAAAAAGAGCTAAAACTTGAAAATCAACAACAGTGCAGCTATTCAAGAGGAACTAATTCCAAATGAAGCAAATTCTTCATGTTACGTGTTAAAAATGTCTTTTGGTTTTATCGTCTTAGTTTTAGGAGATGAGAGGGTACAGTGTTGTAGGACTTTTGAGTATATCACTCCCTGATAGTCCCTGAATTATTTGTCCTGCTATCTTTCTTTTCCTGGTGTATACTAATCACCAACTTTGAAAGAGAATATAAATATTTCTATTTTTTCATGCTTTCCACAAGTATGTTCATGCAACAGAAAAATGAGTTTTTCCTGAATGATAGAGTAAATCCTTAATGAGTTTTTGATTTAGCACAATTCCTTAAATCCTTTCAGTAGGATACTCTGTAGGGTTGGATTGTGCCTTATATAGTGTACTTTCCCCAAATCTAGTTATTTAATTAAATTAGTTTGGGAAACACAATCCAGAGAGTTATTTGAGTAAATTTTTATGGGTTTAAAATCTCCATTGCGCCAGATACATTGTAGGACTTTTTGTGCTCTTCTAACTCTGCTTTTAAAGCTCTGGGTAGGGATGGAGGCTGGCACCAGCTGAGTGGAGCGGTATGCTGTGTTGTTATGAACATCACGCCTAAGTCAGTTTGTTTGGGCAGTTAATGACAACTGAGGTAGGATTTGTGTGTTTGTTTAAAAGTTGAAGCTTCTGTCTATTAAGTTTTTCTTTAAAAAAAAAAAACAAAACTGGCTGGGGATTTAGCTCAATGGCACAGCGCCTGCCTGGCAAGTGGAAGGTCGTGAGTTTGATTCCTGGTACTGAAAAAAACAAAACAAAACAAAACAAAACAAAACAAAACCACTAGCTTGAACTTCACAGAACCAAGGGCTTTATTCTTATTTATTCAGTCGGTTTGTTCCAGGGAGCTCCTTACAGACAGTAAACACATCCACGTAAAAATAAAAGTTTTTTGAAAACTGATCTCAAGTCTAAAGCTCATTTTAACACCTTTGTCACTTTAACTAGATTAAAATACATGGTTTCAATGACTCTGAATAATGAAAGAGTGAATATGATCTCCAAACAACACTTGAGTGGCCTCTTGTAAAACAAGGCACTCATGCACAACGAAGAGGATAGCATTTTTAGAATAATATTCTACACATTAAATGTTGATGTGCTTTTTCATATAATAATATATGAGTTATTCCTTTTCAGAAAGAGTTGAGCTACAAGAATACATGCATGATTCTTTTCACATTTCAAAACTTGGTGAGGGATGGAAGTGAGGCTCAGGGTTAGAGCACTTTTTGTTCTGCCTGAAGCCCTGGATTCTACCCTTAGCACTGAAAGTGAACCAGCCAACTAACCAGCCAGTCAAGCAAAGCTTGGTGAAAGTCCTTGAGGGCACAGTTTTCACATGCTCAGGAAGCTCAGTGTTATCTTCAGGCACAGAGTTTATGTTATCAACAATTCCAGGTAATAGTTGGAACTTTCCAAAAGAGCGCTAATCAGTGGTTCTACTGATGTTTTCATTTGTAAAGAGTTTAAAGTCACTGACTGTGTCAGCCAGTTTCCAGGAAACATGGTTCAAACTTAGGGGGAGATCCTGGCAAGGCTTTTCCCGTGGTGTGGCCAGGGCGGGAGGGCTTTCTGCAGTGCAGACAAGCTTGGAGAAACCAGATGTACTCAGGGACTATTTGTCTCTTTGAATTAGCAGATGTCTTCACTGCTTCGTGGACTTAGGGTTTGGAGTGATACTTCTTATTTGCTGTCTGACATTTGCCAAAGTAATCCTTGCTCCCCAGCCTCCTGAGGAACAGATGCAGACCTTTAAGTGGGATCTTGATATTCAGTGTCTTTGTTCCCTTTCCTTATTTTTTCCATTCTACTAATTTGGCCTATTCTGCAAATAATTCAAAAATTTGAGACATAAAAGGACCAGTTGTTCATCCTCTTAAAATCATTCCTCTCTGTCTTCTGGTGCTTGCAGTTTCGGAGGACTCTTAACTAGGAAATACTTTACTTGGTGTCACGTTTATGTTGCAGGATAGGATCATTTTCTTTTGGCTATTTGAGTCATATTGAGTCATAGTTTAAATTTTGCTCCAAACTACAGTTCTTCTGGAAATTTATGACTAATTTACCCACAATGGACATTTCCTGTTAAACAAAGCTTGAAATTAAATACAAATAGAAAGGAAATGACACAATTGAAAGACACAATTGTTAGACTGGGGAGTGGAAGACTTAGCCTCCATCTCAGGTTCTACAACTTGCCCCACATGTGTTTGGTTTCATCTGAATTTCACTTGATAGATATATAAAATCAGTGTCAATACCTAATCAACATACTGACATAATACGTGTATAAAACTTACCAAAGTGATATTTATAAACACATTGCACATTTGACAGGTATATACAACTCTAATAGTACATACTGAGATTATATATATATATTTATATATGTTTATATATATTTATATATCTATAAAAGCATGGATGGAATATATTAAAATATAAGATTATGAGACAAACATAATTTTAAAAGACATTTTGATTCTCATATTTGCTTAAGGTATTTTTTGGGTATCTATTGTTTTTCTATCTCAAATGGATTACCCAGAGATGAAAGTCACATCTCCTTCAGTCATAAATGGCTTAGTGGGTGTCAGATACAGACCAGTGACCACTGCTTAAATAATACAATAGAGTACTGTGATATATTCTAAAATTATAACCTTTTAGAAATAAATATATATACATAAAAACATACAAATGGTGATCAAAATATATAGTGAGTGCTTAATTTTTAAAAATTATTACAGTAAATGACACATTGCCAATAATTCTCCCCTTGAGACAATATCCCTTGCTTTGAACACACTTATCCTATCTTTTTTTCCACTTTCTGAAGAAATTCTGGAAGTTCTCCTTCTTTTTTTTTTTTTTTTTTCCGGTACCGGGAATCGAACTCACGACCCTGCACTTGCCAGGCAGGCGCTGTGCCTCTGAACTAAATCCCCAGCCCTAGAAGTTCTCTTCCTTGAGTTTCTTTATGCTGTCTGATTTAAAAATTGCAGCGAATACAGCTGCCAGATGCCATCGAAGGGAAAGGCAGCCTTGTAAGAATATTATGGTGCATCCTTACCTACTTTATTCATCCAGTCTGTGACTTCTGGCTTTTCCTCAAGATCAGAACAAGGGGAAACATTTTGAATCCATGCAGGACACTGAGGCAGCCAGCAGGGTGCAACCAGAGAGTAGGAAAGAAGACCTCTGGAACTGTTTTAGAAAGTAGCAAAAACAATGGCATAAGTGTGCTGGAAACGAGGGGAAGTATTCTGAGGGGGATTAGTGGCACTACTATACATATGTATCTGGATATGAGCTGAGCGGTGAGACATAAAAGTTCTTCAGGGAGGTCACACCCTTTATTGAATCATATAATGTATCTTCACTTCCTCAGTTTGGAGCCGAGGAAAGTGCTTTTTTGGCGTCCACTTTGCCTTTGTGACCCATAGATAAATGCTCACTGAGGATCAAAGTCACCGGCATGGTGACCGGGCTGGACCGCCCGCAGGGGTCATCCCCCAGCCTGGGGCAGACGGTGGCGCGCCCCGCCCGCTTCAGTCCTGCCCGGAGCCGGAGCGGGATGGGCTGCGGCGGCAGCAGGAAGGTGGTCCCTGAGCCGCCGGAGCTGGGCCAAGGCCGCGCGCATCCTGGGTTTGAGGCAGTGGCCCAAGCAGCTCGGAGCATGCAAGTGGCTCATTTCCGAGCCAGGTTCCACACGCGGGTCCTCGCCAGGTAAAGCGGGAAGCAAGAGGAGGGACTGGCCTGGGGCTGAGTGGAGAAACTTGAGACCATGCCTGACTGAAGCTCCCCTCCTGTGTGCCTACACTTTGCACAAGTGCCTTCCAGAATAGGGGCCAGGGCCTCCCTAAATTCTTTCCCTGCCCCTTTGAGATACAAATCTACACTTTAGGAGCCTAACCTCTGTTAGAATCCGTCAGCAAACACCCAGGGCCCAATAGCTTTTACAATGGCTCACTCTGCACCTGAACCTCCTGAGCTCCTCCTCTCTCCCCTCCCAGCAGTCTTTACCTGAACTGCTATAGTCTGCCTTCCAGGATGCCTTGCTGTTCATAAGTGTCCCCTGTAATTTTTCTTTGGCATCTCTGAGGAGGGAGTGCAGGCGATGCGGGCAAGAAGAGCAAGTGGAGCAGCAAGAAGTGTGTATGTGCGCGCGTGTGTGTGTGTGTATGGTGTGTGCTGTCTGTGTGTCTGTGTGTGTCTGTGTGTGTCTTGCCATCCCTGCCTGGGGCTGCATCCAGACGGACTTGGTTTGCAGGAATCCTCCACCAAATTGTAAAGTGGGATTGTAGTTAATGGAACAGGGCACTTAGGTCTTCTGGACTTGAGGTCGACTTCCATATCTTCTAGCTAATTTGGAGTGTTCCTTAGTCTTGTTCTTCCTCAGTTCCTGCCTCTGTAAAATGGGAGTAGTACATCTGCCCCATTGTGAGGATAATTAAAGTAATGTGTGTAAATGGTTTTCATTAAATATTAGTGCAATGCTTATTGCTGTCTTTATGAAATGTAAGGCTATAGCTGGCCTTCTGTGGGACATAAGCAAAGACTGAAGATTGATTGTCCTGAGAACTAAATTCCTCAGCGTGTGCCATATTGGATTTCTGCAGTGTTTGGTGGGACACAGTGGTGGGTGGTCCAGCTGGCTTCTCAGGCACTTTGAGTCTTACAATTAAGTGGTCCCTTTATCACAGTGCTCTCCCCAGTTCCTGCTTTTCTAGAAAATTTGAAGTACAGTGGTGAGTGGAGGATCAGTCCAGTGGTTGCTAAGCTTCAGAAGGGCAGAGCTGGCCAGGCTGACTGAATTGGAGTCTGAGTGGACACAGGGTCCTGTCAAGGCTAAATGGCAGCTCTGGGAATCTGCATTTAGAGACGATGCTACTCTGGTCTTGTCTTAATGCGTCTGCATAACTCCCACCCCAAGGTATCCCAGGCCTTGGCATGCAAAGGTCTCTCAACATTTTAAGGGCTTCAGAGACTAATTCAGACCTCCTCTAACTCATGAAGAGTTGAGCCCCAGGAGGTTAAGTGATTTGCCCAAGTTAGTGGCAGAGCTGGGCCTTAGAACATAGGTATCTCTGCTTCATTTTGAGATTCCATTTACAACTCTTGCAAAACAAGAATGTTAGAATTCAAATCTGACTGCATTCACTTTCTTTGAGGGGGTTCATTACAATTGTTTCCATGTTTCATTTTTTTAAAACAAATATACCTTCAAAAGTTCTCTTTATAGCGGTAGCAGCTGAGGTTAAAAAAATATTTTCAGTTTACACAATCCCTGGAATGATGTGAAACTGCACCACCTACAAAGTGACTTGGAGTTTGCTGTGTGGGAGGTGGGGATGAGCTAGCAGAAGTAGAGGAGCTGGAGAGAACTTGTGAAAGCATCCTCCCCTGCTTGATTCCATTCCTAATGTTTTTAGAATGTGTGCGATGACTCAGGAATATGTATTCAGGAACTGATTCTTTCACTCAACACTTATTGCTGCCTCCTCTGTGCTACACATCGCACAAGGTCAAAGTCACAGATGGCCAGCATCTGTGGTCTGCAGGGGCTCTAGAGGAAGGCCACAGTAACAGGAAATTGTTATGGCACACGGCCTCGGGTTGTTCATGTGAGACCATTTGTTTCCATTACTGTAAATCCTGGCTTAAAGCTTACTTCATATTACTAGCATTTTTCCAAATATTTTGTATATGAAGGTTTACTTAATAGTATTGAAGTATCGTGAACTGATCAGACCCAGAATCTCCCAAACGAGTGGATGCCAAAGACTTAAATAAATGAGACAAACGTTATAATTTTAGGGCTCCAGGAGGATCAAAACCCTCTAGCAGAATTTGAGGGGGGCCGAGACAAAGAACTTTTCTGGGCAGCCTGTATTTATTTGGTTTTTAAACAAACGAAAGGGATACTGAGGAAAGCACGGGAACTGAGCAGAACCTTGGGAGTCAGTTAAAAGATTTTTCCCAAGTAGTAAATTATGCCAATCAGGAGAATGACCTTATCTCTAGGTTGACATTTATTGCAGGAGAGTGGAGCCCGCAGCTGCAGTCTGTATTTAGTTAATTGAGGTTGGAGCCAGGTGTAGTCAGTTGGGCCTTATCCTGTCCTCTGAGGCATCAAGGTATCAGAGGCCACTACAGGCTTCCGCAGGGACCAGTGACTCTTAGAGATTCACTTACTATGAGTCCACTGCCCATCTCCAGGCAAGGGGCCTACGCCTGGAGCAGACTCACAAGTAAACATAGAAAGCCAATCTATTAATTTTAAATCCTGCTCAGAGCTGCTTTGTAGTGGTCTCCATCACTGAATAAAGCTCCTTTTATTTGAGCAGAAGAGTGTAGTTCTACAAAAATGGTGGTTTGTCTGATAGCTGATGATTGATTTCATGAGCAAATGAATTTGCAGTTTTGAGGGAATAGCGATAAATTAGTATTTGCAAAGTGCTTTCATCCATATTAGAGAAAATGTAAAACTTAGTTGGTCTGAAAAGCAGTAAGATTTGAAATGCCTGTGATTATCTTCCAAATCACACTGGGAGTGCACTGGAATGAAAAAGCAGAGTTGGACAGGCAAGAGGAGAAAGAATCTGTTTAAGATTACCAAATTGGTATCTGTTTTGATAAGGTAATTGGCCAGAAAATTAAATGCAGTGTGTAGAACAAAGCTGTTTTCTGTAAGCTGGTACAGTCAAATGTCATTTTTATTCAGTAAGTACAGGAATATAAGGAAGAAATAAATAGCTAAAAATTAAAACTATAGAAAGAATAAACTCAACAAAAAGAAATAAGGCTATTTAAAGACATTGATACTTGCATTTGAAACTTTGTTACTGAGTATGTGAATTTTTTATAGAATTACCTTTTTCCTCATTACCCTTCCTCATCCTAGAGGATGAGAGGTGTAGTCATCCTCTAGCATTCTTCCTTGCAAGAGATTTTCATAAACTGCAAAGAACATTCAGTTATGGTACAAGTAAGGAAATCTAGTGTCTAGTCCTGAGTATGATTTAAACAATAAATTGGCTAATCTTTTTTTTAAACTCTTCATCTGTACGATGAAACTTTGAATTAAATTCTCCTTTAATATTGTTTCCAGCTGTAGAATAAAGATTTTAATTCTAGTATTTTCTCAACATTTCAGTAAAGTAAGAGGGCTAAACTCGATAGGAATCTTAATTCTAAGCAGAAGTTTACACAGAAATTCAAGTTAAGATCCCCAACTTTTGAAATCTAAGCTCATTTCCTGGCCTTTTATAAGATAATAAATTTGTACATTAATGCTATATACTCCATGTTAGAATTCTTCTATTGGTTACATATTGCAAATGTAAGAGGGTGGGATGGGCACAGGTGATCTGATACTATTCCTACCCGATTTCCAAAACCTGCTGTTGCCACAGCACAGCCAGGTTGACTTTCTGTAAGAAGAGCTACCATGGGGGAAGTGTTCCTGGGACTAAGCTCATATCAGGAAGCTCATAGAACATCGTGTTTGTACCCCAGGATGGTATTTTCCTCTCCGCAGAAGTTATAGTGAGGATTAAGCTTCATTTTAAATCTCTCTGTCTGCTTTGGTTGATACTATTGAGGAATGCCCAAGACAAGTGTTGGAGGAAAGAAAGAAAAGTAGAGGGAAGTCCTGAAATTCTTTAAGGAAAGTTTAGTGAAATACATTGGAAATGATTTGATTTGAATTCAATTGATTCCAACTATAATCTGTGAGAACTTGGGAAATTGCTTCCGTGTATTTTTAGCTTTAACTTACTCACCTGAAAAATGGGGATATTATTATATCATTCATCAGGATTTTTTTAAGGATAAGATTTTTGAAAGAAAAAATAACATTCCTGGAACATAATAAATTTATAGTACATGGTAGCTGTTATGATTGTCTTTCTACCAACTAATCACCTTTACATCATTTATTTGCATTTCAAAAGAGGATTTGCTGTGCCTTCAATGCTAAGCACAAGCAAAAATAAGCAAGAGAATTGGGGGGAATATGAGGATGGACAAGGTGGACAAGATGATACAACGCATAGGCGTCATTAATTTCGAGAATCATCACTTCAGAGGACAACAGCTTTGATTTTTCTTCCCAACAGATACGACATCAAGGCTCTCATCGGAACAGGCAGTTTCAGCAAGGTGGTCAGGGTGGAGCAGAAGACCACCAAGAAACCCTTTGCAATAAAAGTGATGGAAACCCGGTTGAGAGAAGGCCGGGAAGCGTGCGAGGCTGAGCTCGGTGTCCTCAGGCGGGTCTGCCACCCTTACATTGTGCAGCTCATGGAGATCTTTGAGGCCCAGGACCGAGTTTACCTGGTGATGGAGCTGGCGACCGGAGGGGAGCTCCTAGAGAGACTCATCGCTCAGGGACCTTTTACAGAGCGGGATGCTGTCAGAATCCTCTGCATGGTTGCGGAGGGGATTAGGTATTTGCATGCTTTGCAAATAACGCATAGGGACCTAAAGCCTGAAAATCTCTTATACTATCATCCAGGTGCGGAGTCCAAAATCTTAATCACAGACTTTGGGTTTGCCCACTCGGGGAAAAAAAGCGGCGACTGGATGATAAGGACGCTCTGTGGGACCCCAGAGTACATGGCCCCTGAAATTTTGCTAAGGAAACCTTATACCAGCGCCGTAGACATGTGGGCTCTGGGTGTAATCACCTATGTTTTACTTAGTGGATCTCTGCCTTTTGATGATGAAAGCCATGCAGAGCTTTACAGGAAGATTCTGAAAGGCAAATATAATTATACCGGACAGGTAAGAGATTATTATGTTGTGCCTATGTGTTGGTGTAGAATAGTGTTTCTGCATCTCGGCATTGTTGATATTTAGGGCTGGATGATTCTTTACTGTGGAGAGAGAGGAGCTGTGGATTATAGGATGTGCATTATAGGATGCCTAGTAACACCCCCAACTTCTGTCCCCAGGAGGCCTCTGACACGACCTTTCTGGTTGTAAACCCCAAAAATATCACTGTTCAATGTCATTTGTTGAGCAAAATTGCTCCTGGTTGACAGCCATTGGTTTCAAGGAGGCAAAGGCCTTCTTTGATTGCTGACCTGTGTGTGGTTAGCCCTTGACATTGACGACCATGGCGACCAGGGAGGCGGTGTGAAGTTTCTCCTCAGTCAGTTTGCAGAGCCTGAGCTGGCTGACTCACCTATACGCAGAAATTCAACATGGTGCTTGGGTGTTTGGTGACAGATTTTCTACCTCCAGTCTGGATAATCCAAGTCTTCTTTACAAAGTAGCATTTCCTCAGTGAAGTGTTTAACCTCACAGCTTGTGCAAAATAGTCATTCCTTGTTTAAACTTGGAACTCCCAGTGTTCATGAATGTGTGAATTTTTGTTGTTTTGGGTAGGGAAGGAAAGTTGCCAAAGCTTTGTGTAGGAAGCCCAACAAAATAGGAAACTTGTTTTATGTAGGGGAAATGAACAAATTTAATTTCTCATAAAAATGTTGATAGCCTGATTATATCTACTTACAACGTAGCATGTATATTTACTGTACTTTCTTAAACAAAATCAAAGTGAAATAACAAATAAGAGTAACATTATCATACTATGGAAGAAATTTAATGCCTTATTATACATGTCTATGCCTTAAAAACTGATATAAGTTAATAAATGAAAACTAAAACTTACAAAGGAAAGCAGGAAAGGACGAGAAGAATTCAGACAATGCCATAGCATTGCTTATTAAGGTTTAAAAACATGTCCAGCCTCAATAATAACTAAAGAAAACAAAAATACATTTTTTGGTCTTTCAAAGTGATAAGATAAAAGCCCAAGATTATTGCTTCTAGGAAGGTAAAGAGATTAGCCCTCTCATCCATAGAAGATGGATTGTCACAAGTTTCCTGGAAAGTAGCTGAAAGTGTGTATCTGGAACTATGAACAATTTATGTATTTGCTTGATAATTCTTCTTCTAAGATTCTGAGGAAGTAACCTCAGATGTGACAAAGGTTTCAGTGTAAGGATGCTGTTTGAGCTCTAAGGCAATGTTTGAATAAATTATGAGACATCCATATGCGTAATGGCCCCTAAGTTATGCATATTTTAAAATTATAAGATGTTGGAAAATGTTCACAATAAACTGTCAAGTGGAGAAAAAGCAGGCTATATTCTAACCTGTGTGTATGGTATCCTCATGTTCATGGGGAAGATGTATACCTAGGAAAATGGCTAGAAGGAAATGTAGTAAAATGTTAACAGAGTCTGTATCCTGGGGTGGGAATTATGGATCATTTTGGGTTTTTTTAATATTTTGAGTATCATTATATTTTTGTTTTGGTCTTGTTTACACAGAACACATATTTCTATTTTAGTTGTCTATTGTGTAACAAACCATATCAAAACCTAATGGCTTAAACCTATAACCATTTTCACGTGATTCGTCATTCTGTGGGTTGGTGAGGCTCGCCTGGTTGGCTTCCTCTCACATGATGTGGGGTGGGACTGCATCCTTCTGAGCACTTGATTAGGATGCAGTGCTATCACCTTACTAGGGACCACTCAGATGTCTGACATCTTGGTGGAGGTGGCTGGGAAGCTGCATCTGACTAGGTCACGGGGACCACATATCTCTTCTTTTTCATCTTCTCTGTGGGTTGCAGAGTCCCTTTTTCTCCATGAGGTTTCCCCAGTAGGGCAGCCAGACTTCCTATGTGGCATTTCAGGGCTTCTAAGATTGAATATTTGGCTGGGGATACAGCTCAGCGGCACAGAGCCTGTCTGGCAAGTATGAGGTCGTGAGTTTGATTCCTGGTACAAATAAATAAATAAATAAATAAATGGAATATTCTAATAGAAGAAGCGTGGATGTGGCTAGTTATCTCTTGGCCCCGTATCACTTCAGCCTCATTCAGTCAGTCACAGAATGTGTCTACTGTGGGCATGGTCCACTGGGGTCTGTGTGGACTAGATATCTCAATTACTTTCTTTAATGTGATAAGATAAATATATTTTGTTAAAAAAGTTTAATTTGAAGGATGCTAAGGCTGCTCCCCAGAGGCAGCCTTGATAAGGGGATCCATGTGCTCATGATCTACTCTGGGTAGATGGCTCGGGAGACAGGTAAAGAAGCAGGGGTTGGGGAAGTGAAGGCCAAGAAGGTAAAGAGGTGCCGGCAGCAGTGGGGCAGTCTTAGGCTGTGGAGGAGTTACTCCCTAGCAATGTTCAGAGGCAGAGAGTCAGGATTTCATACTCACACCTATCTGTTCGTGGGGTCATTGTTGGTGGTAAATCTCCAGCTTTCAGGATCAAGGCAAAGTGAAAAAGGAGATGCTGGGTTTTAGAAGCTAAGCACCTCAACAAAAAATGAGTGTACCTCTAGAGAAAAGGGCCCCAAAGTTGACAAGGATAACTGACACTTTCTCTGCTGCAGGCATCCCAAGGCCCTCACAGCGCCCTCTGCTTCTTGGACTTGCCTGTCTGTGGCTTCAGAATAGCAACAACACACACTGTGTGATGAGAATGTGACTCTATCATACGTTATTGGATGTATATTCCCTTGACAGGCTTCTCTGTGTTTGTCAGGCACATGTGTCTGTCATATTAACTGTCATATTAGCATCTTTTAATATTATCAAACATTTTATCTTAAGTTGCCATAACAAAATGGCACAGGCTGGATAACATAATCAACAGAAACTTATTTCTTATAGTTTTGGAGGCTGGAAAGTCCAAGATCAAGGTACTGGGAGGGTAGGCTTTATTGAGGCTTTTTTCTGTTGGTTTGTAGTGTGTGTGCACGGGATTTAACTTTGTGTACTTGCAGGGAGAACAGGAATGAGCCTCTCTTCTGAAAAACAAAACAAAACAAAACAAAAAAACCCATTAATCCAGCTGGGCATGATGGTCCATGCCCAGAATTGCATCATTCTGGGAGGCTGAGGCAGAAGACACAGACACAAGTTCAAACCCAACCTGGGCAACTTAGTGATTCAGTGTTTCAAAATAAAATTTAAAAAGGCAGGAAGTGTAGCCCCCAGTATAAAGGTCCTAGGTTTAGTCTGCAGTACCACAAAAACAATGGATAAATGAATGAATGAATGATTAAATAAATAAATAAGCATTAATCCTATCAGGTGGTGGCCTCATCTTTAGTTTTAATTTTAGTTACTATTTTTAACTTTCATTTTTTCCTTTGTAACCCCACCTTCAAATACAATCACACTTGGAATTAGAGCTTCACTATGTGAGTTCTGGATGTTCAACAACATTCAGTTCATAACGATATAGGAAAACTATAACTCCATTCCTATTAGATGTCAAATGTGCCGAGTGTGTGGTCTCACACATCAAGGAATGACATTGTGAACCAAAGGAGGAAGTTAGAAGAGTTTCATTGGCTATAAGGGCAACAAGAATAGCTCCTAGATTTCCAGGAGGGGTCCTGAATAGTTGGTCACTAAGGCCCTTTGTCAAGGACAATTTATACAGAAAAATCATAGTGGGAGTAAGGCATGGGTCAGACTACAATCAATTTATAGGATTACAAGGATAGCCACTTAGCTAATGTTGATCCACTAGGAAAATGAATCACATAACAAGAGCACATGGAAAGAACGAAGGCATTTGGGGAACAGAGGCTAGTACAGGTCCGTATGTTCTGGTTGCCCACCTATGTGTCTGACTCCTGTCTGGGCCCCCTGGACCAGGTGGAGCTTATTGTAGCATAGTCTCAAGCTGCTGTTTATCTTGCAGGTCTGGCTGCTGCATCTCCATCCTCAAGCCTGGCTCTCTTTAGATTTGCCTCCAGCCACAATTCTGATGTCTATCTTTTGTACCATCTTTCTTAAAGCTGTAGTCCCTCTTTGACTGTATATTAATTTTTATGAAACTTAGCTGCCTATATTAATAACATCAAGGAATTCTATATTGAGAGACTCAGAAAATTACATTATAATTTTTTTCTGTTGTCATATTATCATATCATAATATATCATATTAACATATACATATATTATCATATATATTCTCATATATTTATTGACAAGCCTAGTAATTTCAAATTTATTTCGGTGTTACAGTAACTATCGATTCTGGAAGCATAGGTGTAGTGTAAGGGCACCGTCTTGAGCAACTCTGGCTGGATTGCACAATCGGTTCTGCTGTTTACTAAATGTGTAACTTTGATCATGTTTTTTTTTCAGCTTGGTTCTGCTGTGTACTAAATGTGTAACTTTGTGTTTTTTTTTCAGCTTCGCTATATCTCTGTGCATTTATAAAATAGCAATGACAGTAGTATCTACCTAATAGGATTGTTGTAAAGATCAGCAGAACTAATAGATAGAAGTGTTTAGAACAGTAGTATATGTTGGTCCATATGGAGACAGTGTTATTTCTGTGTTAATTGTTTCTTTTATTGTGACCTTTTCCCTTTCCCGGTAGTACTGGTGATTGAACTCAGGGCCTCATGGGCTAAACATGCTATCACCAAGCTGCATCCTCAGCCCTTTTTTTTGTTTATTATTAGGGTCTTATTAAATTTCTCATGTGGGCACAAACTTTCTAAACGCCTGTCTCAGCCTCCTGAGTAGAAGGGATTATAGTCATGCATCATCATGCCCAGCCCATTACGACTATTAACATGGGAAAGGGAGGTTGAAAGATTGAATATTAAGTAAGTTATTAGTTTTGTGCTTTGGGTTTTTAAAAAAACTATTACAAACTTCATTTTTTGAGTGTACTACTTTTATCTTTTAAATGGAATAGTGAGAAAAGGTTGATACTAGAATTTTAATACAAATAATAAATTATAAGCAATATTGCCATTAAGCTGGAAATCATATATTCTTATCTAAATAGATTCCAGTGGACCACAGTAGTTTTTGGTATAAAAGAATTTGATAATAAAAAATCTTATAACCATGTTAGGGAAGTAACAAGGAAAAGCACTGGTATATATGGACATTGACAGAAAATAATTCCCATCTGCTTAAACTCACTCATGATTTCTATGCTATTAGGAAAAAAGACTGCACACTAATTCAAAGCAGGAAAAAATACAAGTCACAGGGTTGCCACCAGTAGACATTTTTAATAAAAATTACTCTTTTAAGGGATGATATTTTGAGAGATTTTAGAACAGTAAATTACAATCAGTCCTTAATTCTCTTAAGCTACAAGAGTCAAGATATGTACAAAATATAAAAGAACATTTTCCAAAATTTCTTTTAATCTTCCCAAGGTAGTGAGTAGTCCAATCGCTGGTATTAACTTTAGGTTTTATACTTTTTGGGGGGTTATTGTTTTATATAATTTAGCCAGTTTCTTTTGGGGAAGACAGACAAATAGGCCAAGAACCAGAGCTAGATGAGGAAAGGAAGAAAGAAAAATGGTAAAAAGACCTGAACTATCCACAACTATTATAACTTACTTTGCAAGTAAATTAATTGGAAGATCTTTAGATACAAGGAAATTCTACATTAATTTTCACACAGTTTACTACCTCTTAACCCGGAACAACTACTAATTCTCCTCCCACTCCTCCCTTCCCTCCTCCCTTCATTTGTTATTATTATTATTATTATTTTGTGTGCTGAGGATTAAACCCAGGGCCTCACACATGCTAGGTGCGCACACTGAACCACTCTATCCAGGCTTGGTTTTTTCTTTTGGAAGGCACAGATTTACCATACTAGTAATATATGGAATTGGTCAGAGAGGCACTGGTAACTTTCCTATTCCATTTCTCTAGATATAATCAGTGAATGTGTCCATGAAGGAACTGAGGGGAAAGGTATGAGGACTTAGTAATAGCAAAAGCAACAATAATAATGATCTGCATATTTTATACTTTGAAAACCATTTCTCCATCCTTGATTTGATTGATCCTAAGAAAGATCTTGTGAAAGTGATAGGAGCACCCTTGTTTTCCTGAGGAAGAAACTGAGACCCCAAGGTTGTGGCCCTGTGTGTGGGTGGACAGCCTGGCTGGCTTGGATATGCTGAGCTCTGTCCCATGGTGCTTTCCCCACATTGAGATGGGCCTACAGGCTGACCCAGGGCAGTGTTGACCCAAGACTGCTGGCAGAAGCCATACCAGGGGGAATTTTAGGGAATGGTGAGGCTGAGCCTGTGAGGAGAAATAATGAGGAAAGCTTTGTCAAACAATGAAAGCTAAAGTAGGCACTGATGATGTCTTCAGGTGACAGATGGTGGGATGGGGATCCATATGTGGTCTCCTAATTGCTTTTGGTGTTATAATATTATTAGCCAGAAATTTTGAGTGTAAACACTCAGTTTTTATTCATTGAGAGAATTAGTACATACATACACAATAGTTTTTTACTTTACTAAGTGTAGACAAAAATAAATTTTGGATTAAGTAGATAAAAATAAAATGGAAGCTCATTTTCTTCCCATATCTGCCTTTGTCTAATACATAATGTGAAACTGACTCATAGGTACTCTCTGATTGCTCTTTATGGTTCAAGAATTCTGTAATTTGTAACTGATGCTTGAATAATAAGGTTTGGCTAAAGAACTTTTTCCCAGCACACCAGTTATGTTATTTTCTAAAACTGCATTTTAATGTACATTCATTTGGTGTCCTTTTAATGAGCTCCCCATAAACCTGGCTGTACATATTTTATACTCTTTTCAGAGAGATTCAGTTGCTAGTCTTAAAATGTTCCACTGGAGACACCTAATTCAACCTTCATTTAAACAGTCTTTGGCCCAGATAAATGTGTCTGGGTCTAGGACCAAGGAGATGTCTCCGGAATTGGAGAGCATGCCGCCCTGTCCAGGACATATGTGCTTTGTCTCGACTTGCAGGTTTGCATTTCATTTTTCTCACGTTTGAGTTTTGACAGACGTGTTCATCTATTTTATAACACTTGTTTTGGGGATAAATATTCTTCACATCTCATTTACCTAAATAAACTCAAGGCAAAAAGAAAGGAAATAATCTCTTCACTTGCTGGTTTCTTGTTCAAATTCTAGGTTAACAGATGCTCAGAGGTTGGAGTGTGTGATGTGTATGCATGGATTATTTTTCCTCACATAAGGGGAAAGAATGGATTGTCAAGACTGTCATCTTTCCTAGACACAGAATTTTTAAAAAGCACAGCACTCAGAAATTGTGTTTTAAATACAGAAATTGTACAGGCAATTTTCTCATTGTTTCTGCTTTTTAGAGGAAATGGATAGATAACCTTAGGTCTTTCTTTCCAGGTTTGTGTTATGTGTTGTTGGTGGGATTGTTTTTCTCTCTGGGATCAAACTCAGAACCTTGTGTGTGCTCGGCAAGTGTCTACCTCTGAGCCACTTCCTCAGCTCTGTGTGTTGCTAGGAAGTACAGAAAAGCTGAAGAATAAAGCAACAGCCCTTTTTTGTCCCCATCTTTGCAGTTGCTACTGTGAATCGCGCCGGTTGTACTCAGAGTATGTGCAGGTGCTGTAAATATTGACAGAGTGAGATGGTGAGACATCAGACAGCTAGGTGTGCATATAGCCATGGTCATAGCTCTGCCACTTGCTGAATCCCATTTGTAGCAACTCTTTGGGACACAGAGGCCCTGTGTGTTGGAAGAAAGGCACTGCAGGGAATCCTCTGCTGAATTGTCTTATATTTTCTTCCCTTTCCAGCTGTGGAGATGGCAGCATCTGGAGTTCTGAGTAAGCTTTCAAAGGGAGAGAAAAATTGATGATTCCTCAACGTAGTCTGTTTACCACTCTACCTAACTATCTGAGTCGCAGGGACTTTGAAATATGACCAGTGTGGGGAAATGCTAGTCTGAAGTAGGCCGTGAAAAGCAGCTGCAGTTTCTGGTCCAGCTCCTGTAAATGGGATGTGGGAACCTCACTGCTAACAGTAGCAGCTGGACAGACATCTGGAAAGCAATTCCCACTTACTGGTTAGAGAGTTGAAAGACAATTTCCATGTTGTTCTTTTTTTGCTACCGGGAATAGAACTCATGACCTCACGGTTGCCAGGCAGGCGCTTGTACCACTGAGCTATATCCCCAGCCCCTCCATGTTTTTCTTTTGCTAAAGAGATCCTTTTTCTTCTCTCAAAAGTGGATTTTTAGATTTATATTATAATAACCCAGTCGTCAAATTGCTTGTTGAAAAAGCTTTTTGGATTTGGTAGGCACTGCTTTATTTGGGAACATGAATCTCTCTGTGCGTTTAAATTTAATGTATTTCATATAATCTTATTTGTGTATGTTTCTTCTTAGCCTTGGCCAAGTATTTCCCACTTGGCGAAGGACTTTATAGACAAGCTGCTGATTTTTGAGGCTGGTCATCGAATGTCAGCTGGCCAGGCCCTGGATCACCCCTGGGTGATCACCGTGGCTACAGGGGCTTCAGTGAAGAATCTGCAGAGAGCCATCTCCCGGAACCTCAGGCGGAGGCTGCCTCCCCACTCTCAGAGTCCTGGATCTGCTCAGTCTTCTAAGTCATGTTACTCTCACAGATCAAAGCATATGTGGACCAAGAGAAGCTTGAAGACAGCAGAAACATCTCTGTCTGCACTTTTATAAGCAGATGATCTCCAGGGTCATTTTACCCAATTTTAAGTCTGATCTGCTAACTTCATTAATGGCATTAAGTCAAGAGGGACCATTTCATCATGATTAGGGCAGCCTAAATTGCTGAGGACTTGGGAGCATGTCATTACTTTAAAATAGTGTTGCCCTTTACCATTTTGTTGGTTGTATTTAGTCCTGGGGTTTGAACTCATGGCCTCACATGTATTAAGCAAGCATTTAGTATTGAGCTATGCCCTAGCCCTTTTAGTTTTACTTTAGAGACAGAGTTGCAACCCAGGCTGGTCTCAGACTTGTGCTCTTTCTGCCTCAGCCTCCCAAGTATCTGGAATTACATGCATGCACCACCACTGTGCCTGGATTTATTTATCTTTATTTTTAAGATGTTTTGGCCTCTCATTTTTCCTGTACATGTATTTATTTCCTGAAATTATAGTGCTGCAAAAGATCAATAGTGCAGTAAATACTATATACATTTAGATCACTGGAGACAGTAGATGAAGAAAATCTCTTAAGTTTTGAATGGACTAAATAAAATATGATGCTTTAAGAATAAGAGATGAATATGCAAAGGAGTGATGAATTAGAGACATAGCAGGTATAGTTACATATGGGGAATAAATTTATTTACCTTGAGATTACTGATTTTTATTTAAGACCTGATGTATGGCATTGACTAGAAGACACTCAAAACAGTTACCATGATCTGGGCGTGGTGGTGCATGCCTGTAATCCCAGCACTCA